AGTGAAAACATCACTCTGATTATTTTATATTCAATTTCTTCCAGTAGATCCCTTTCACCTAAATCTGTGGCTAAAAGCAGAGAGTGACTGGTACAACTGCTACTTACTGCTCAGAGGGAAACAGCCTGAGTAAACAGTCATACAACACTTGCTGTTTAAAAGCTTTTATTGTGGTTCACTGGATTAGATAAAGACTTGAGGTGAGTCTGTGTCATACATCATGTCATATATCAACCAATTACAGCATATGAATGGCCAGAACCAGAACTGTCTTTAAACTGTCAAGATTTTCAGAGAGTGGACCTGATGTGACGTTAACTTTGGCGCCTATGTCCAGCGACCTGAATGACTTCAAATCTAGATACGGAGCTGAGTGTTTTTGGTTTGATGCATTTGTAAATTGTACTGAATTTTACATGAGGAAATTCGGGGTTTCATGAACAAGACTCCTTCCTAGTTTTTTTTTCGATTTCAAAACGTTTTCTTTTCTTTTCTTTCTTTTCTCCAAATTATGGAAATGAAAAGTTTGGCCTTGAAGGAAGTTTCTAAACCATTTCAATTTCCATGTTCCTATGATATTGAACACATCATTGTGTTCCCAAATCTTGTGTTTTTAAACCTTATAAAACTAGCATGTTTCTACAAATAGTTGACCCTAGAGAGATCTTGAGGATGTTCGAGTTGATGGAGTTGCAGGTGTCTGGCTCCTGGCTGGACTCTGCTGCCCTCTGGTGGTTTCTGATGATCACAGCAATGCTTGCAGAGAGCCTTGCAGAGGTGATAGTGAAGCTGATAGGAGGGTCCTCAACGTTTTGGATGCCATAAGCTTTGACTCTATGAGCATTTCTACTGGTAGATCTGGATCCTAAGAGCTGTGTTTATATGGCCATGAGCTGTGTTTATATGGCCATGTATACGTACACATACAAGGAATTTGACTCCGGTTTTTCCATTGCTCTCAACCTACAGAGATAGACAAGTAAACAAATAAACAAATAAACAACAACAAAAAACAAGGACAGCAAAGCAGAACAAGGTTAAGCATAAACATGTACTCAGTGAAATGGAGAAATAGTGCAATGATAATTGAATAAATATGGAAAGATTGTCACAGGATACTTTATATACATGACGTAGGGGGAATATCTTAATCTATTTATATATCTAATTTAGAATATACAGGTACCGGATTATTGCACACGTAGTACTGGATCAACATCTCCTGAGGCAGGTTGAACTTTCTGAGCTGGCGCAGGACCTTCAACCTCTGCTGGGCTTTTTTGGCAATGGTGTTGATGTTGGAAGCCCACTTTGTGGATCCCAGAAACCTGAAGGTCTCCACAGCAGACACAGTGCCAAACCATTAAGTTTTTGTGTACCCATGATTTTTGATAGAGATAGAGTTAGAGTGTTTTTCAAAGATTTCATTAATTTCTCAGATAATAAATTTGTGGATCTTGAAAATATTTAGAATATAATATCAAATCCTCACAATATCAGTAATGTTGAGGGGAGTGATATTTATGAGTGTTTATGAGATTCCTGACACTTGATATAGATCCAAATAAAATCCAAATCTAGTGGATTTAAATATATCCTTCATAGGGGGACCGTTGGTGGAGGTATGTACTTAATAAAGAGAGAGGAATGGAATCCACTGATCCAATTAGAGCAGGCAGGTAACATTAGATCCCGCCTGCTCCAGTCAGAGTGAACCTGCAGCAGATTCTGTCATGACCATGGATTAGATGTTTAAAAGATTGATGTACAGCGGGTGAAATAGGTATTGAATAAGTCACCATTTTCCTCACTAAATATATTGCCAAAGGTAATATTGACATGAGATTTTCACCAGATGTTGGTAACAACCCAAGTAATCCATACATACAAAGAAACCAAAACAAATAAGTTCAGAAAGTAAGTTATGTGTAATAATGTGAAATGACACAGGGAAAAAGTTTTGAACATATGAAGAAAGGGAGGTGCAGAAAGGCATGGAAAGCCTGAAATCTATCAGTAATTAAAAAGCAATCCAGCCCCTTGTCAGTGCAAATGAATATCAAATT